TACTACTAGTACTGGTACTAGCACTGGTACTAGTACGAGTAGTAGTAGTAGTAGCAGCAGCAGCAGCAGTAGTAGTAGTAGTAGTAGTAGTGGTAGTGGTAGTGGTAGTGGCAGTGGTAGTGGTAGTGGTAGTAGTAGTTGTTGTTGTTGTACTAATAGTATAGTTAAATCATGGCGAAGCGTAGGGCCAGGTGCCAGCTCTGCAGTGAACGCCTTTAACCGAGGCCCACAAGGGGGAGAGAAAAAAAAAGGGCAAAGAAAAAAAAATGACAAAAAAACTAGGGTCCCCTCCTTCCTGCCTTCCTTCCTGTCTGCCTGCCTGCCTGCCTTCCTTCCTTGCTGCCTTGCTTCCTTCCTTGCTTCCTGCCTTCATTCCTTCGTTTCTTCCTTCCTTCCTTCCTGCCTTCCTTCCTGTCTGCCTGCCTGCCTTCCTTCCTTGCTGCCTTGCTTCCTTCCTTGCTTCCTGCCTTCCTTCCTTCCTTCCTTCCTCGCCCTTTCTCCCCGCCTTCCTTCCTTCCTTCCTTCCTTCCTGCCTTCCCTCCTGCCATCCTTCCTTGCTGCCTTTCTTCCTGCCTTCCCTCCTTCCTTCCTTCCTGTCGTGCTTCCTTTAATAAGGGAAATTTTTGTTTTGATTGGAAAAAAGTTTTTTTTTGATTGAAAAAAGTTTTTTTTTGATTGAAAAAAGTTTTTTTTTGATTGGCATCCCGTCTAGATCAGCTTATGTAGGTCGCAGCACTCGAGTGCATCACAGGCTTGAGGCAGCTGCTGCATCCCAAATTCGCCGGCCGTTCCCCCAAAACCTTGGCAGAAATAGCATGAAACAATGCTGAGGCAGCTTGGTCGCCCGGTGAACCCGGCGCCAAGCTAAGCTAGACACCCGGTTGGCCAGCCACTGCACCCCTCGCAGGACAGGCCGTGCAGCACCTCAACACGAATCGAGGACTCTCTCTCCAAACAAAGACTGACAATCTCCAACCGTGTGAAAAAAACGGCACAAAAAGCAAGAAGCCGCGAACATCCGAGCATCTGACGGACCACTTGCAGCGCAGGCGAGACCGGTTCCTGGAATGTCAACCACGTTGGAGTATTCAAAGCCCTGCAACAAACATGCACTGAAAAACTCGCCGCAAAGATAGCGCACAGCACAAACCTTTCTGATTCATACCTCGCATCTCAACACACAATCTCTGTAAAGGCTTCGCCTGGTGTCAACCGTGTGATGACGCCTGAAGGCACCCGTGCGATTAAATGGACTGCCCTTCGGCGAAGCACGGGCTAAGCAATTGGAGCCAGATTTCGGCTCGTCGAACGTTGCGCCATGAGCGAGATTAGCTTGGAAGACAAGCAACGGCTAAGTGCCTGAGTCGACATGGACGGCTGCCAGCCACTGTAGCGTTGTGTAGCTAAAGAGCTCTGATCCAGCATCTGTTTTACACCAACAGCCCCCACCAAAGGAGTACATGGTCAAGATGTGTTCTAGCCAACCCCTTCGCTGGCCAGTAGTCTTTCGCCAACCGCGGATGAACATAACCTGTTGGAACATTGCATGCATGCAAACCTTCACGGCTTAGAGCTTGTCGATGACACGGTACACCATCCCAACACGTTGGAGGCAACGACATCTGGGCCACAGGTCTGCACGACCCGGACTTCGGATGCAGTCGTACATGCATGTGGAACGAACACTTGATGTGAACATGCTTGTGGAGAAACACTAAATCACGCATGTGTCCTGCACAGACGGCCCTAAGCTTTAGTCTGGCGGGCCCTCCATCGCCTTTACCTTCCAAACCTGGCGCAGAATGCACCGAATAACGCCTTTCCGGTGGTTCGGCAAGGCGACACGAAATAACAACACGGTGCTCTAAAGCACTGCATCGTTCAAAAGTGGCACGACACTTGGAGGCGGCATGCCAGTGCCGCATTGCTGGCAATGCAGCTGATTCTGAATTGCATGCGTGTGTAGCACCCGTGCTGCCTAAGGGTACCGCACGTCAGCAAGAAGGGTTAGACGGGTCACGAAGCCTGCAACACTAGAGCTGCGAGAGCATCAATGATGATGAACTAATTGACAGGTTGACGTTCCTTCCACGCCTGATGCCTCTAGAAGAAAGGCATTTTGAGGAAGCGATCCTCATGGCAGCAAAACTTGGGCAACATCCCAAAGGATGTTGTTCAAACATTCTTTTTTGGATATCTGTATGAAACGTCGCTCGCCGACGAGTTACGTGCGTGCAAGATTAGGCAAGGCCTGAAAGCAGTGCACCAACTGCCACTTCGCACTCCTTGTGATGTTCTTGTTCAAACTCTCACCACTCAAAGGGCAAGCTGCATACTCAATGGGTCACTGGGCGTGACCTCTGGAATGGATTCTGCAAAGGGCTAGGGCAGCTGACACTCTGCATAGACTCCCTATTGCCTGCCGCAAAGCACCGGCTTTCACGTCAAGACTTCTCGGCGCGGACCGTGGGCTTTGTCTGTTCGGAACTTGGCATCACTCGCAGCCTGTCCTTCAGTTTGCTGATGTAGGCTGTCTTTTTCACGACTGAGAACTGCTCCGAGATTCCGCTGCGAGCTAAAGAGCAACATATTATGATTATGCTAACGAGTGCTGGGGACAAAATCACTGGGATCAGCCTACTCTCGGCTGCCACGTAGACAGGCGGTATGGGGACTAGCTTGAGACCGTGTGGAAGGGGCCTTCCCACTTTCCGCGGTCCCACAGCATCCACAGCCATTCATGGCTCGAGCATCTTGGCGTCGCCCGGGTCATCGAAGGGACAGCGGCACAGTGGGCACGTGCTCCTCAGCATCAAAACATGCGAGCAACCACTAGCAACATGAGATCAAGACAAGACCCGCGCGATTGACTGGAATGCGACGCACCCCAGGCTGCAATACAGTGCTCACAAAAGAAATGGCCACACCTGAGCCGGCCCGGTCTCGCGTCTGATTTCATGTTTTGCTCATTTCAGCAAACTTCCAATCTCCCCAGACCATGAGTCCAGCGCGGTAGTACCGCTACCTCAGTAGTAAGACGAACATGCACGCATGCCTCCGTACCTACCTCCCTACCTACGCAGGTACATGCATGCATGCATCAAGACATACGCTTGCGTGAAAAAAAGAGGGCACAACAGCATGCATGTACGCATTTATGCATGTGTGCATGTGTGTATGCATGCTTGCATGCGTGTCTGTCTGTCAGTCTGCACTCTGTCGGTCGGTCGATCTGTCGGTCTGTTTGTCTGTCTGTCTGTCTGCCTGGCTGCCTGTCGAGATATGTCCGTATGTATGCATGTACGCATGCATGTACTCGTGTATGTGCACAGCTATGCACTGCATGCATGCATGTATGGTTATGCACGATTGTGTATGTATTCATGTATGTATGTATGTATGCATGCATGTAAGTATCTATGTAGTTATGTACGTGGTTATGCATGTATGTATGTATGCATGTATATATGTGCGTATGTCTGTGTGTGCGCGCCTGTGCTTGCATGGGGGCACGTGCATGCAAGTGCAGATGCAAGTGCAGATGCAAGTGCAGATGCAAGTGCAGATGCAAGTGCAGATGCAAGTGCAGATGCAAGTGTAAGTATATGTGACTCTATGTGTGTTTTTATGCTTGTGAATGTGTATATATAGATGTATGTGTCCAAGCATATATTACATATACAAAGACATAGGTCTAAAAACACAGATAACTTATCTTCAGATAACCAGGGAATTGCTCGGTGGCCTGTCTCGTCAACGCTTTCTATCTACTAGTCTACTGACCCATTCATTCTGGAGTGCCCTTACGGCCGTGCATTCCCGCATGCGTAATCCGTCCTTTGCAATGCACTCTGCTGGCAGCCGCTAGCATCCCGTCAGCACCCCTGAGGCTCCGCAGGACCGCACCATGAGTCTAAAATGCCCAGCACAACACTTTTGGGAGCATGCAGGAGCAAGGCTGGCACCACAGGCCACGGTACGCTCACCCCACTCTGCAGCCGGAGCAAGAGTCCAAATGCGCACCGGAGCGGGAGCGCGATGTTGGAGGAGGAAATGCGCATGTCGTGGAGGCAGCGGAAGAATGATTTCGGCGGGCATGGTGGCGAGAAGACGACATACACACCCCAAAATATGATCGGTGGCGGGAGCAGGACGTGGGCTTTCGCTGCCACAGTCATTCCTGGACCTCTTGAACCCCCAAGATTTCGAGACCCGGCCTGTGCTCGAAACTGCAGATGGATTCGTGCGTTTATGTATGTCTACATACACGTACGTGCCCATGCCGTTATGCCTGCTTTCATACATGTCTATGCACAACGGACAAACAGAACTCAGCTGTAGCGAAACAATCATCCATCCGAACTTACCATTTCTGAGTGCCTTCTGTTGGAAAACTTGTTTCTTTTGACCTACTCATGCAAAGGCCCGGGACTGTCGCTTCTACACCACAGCCATCATTGGAAAGCAAGGCCAAAGCTTCAGCAAACGCAGCCATCACATCCTACAAGTCACTGTTGGATGAACTCACAAGTAGACGGACTGACTCTCGAAAGCATCCGGAACAAGTGCTGAGCAGGTGCAACGTCCGGCCCGTCATACTCCTGGACAACGCAGTCGTGCAGGCGGTTATGAGCAGGGCAGGTCAGGTCACTAAACTTCTTGATTTGCTGTTGGATCTCGAGGGGCCACCCGATGTAACAAAAGAGTCTCGGAGATTGTTGCAGGTGCCTGGCACCGCGTGAAGGATTTGGAAGATTCAAAGAGTTGTATCAGACTGGGGTAAGAGAGTGGATGATCACGCAGTTTGACATCCAACGGCTCAATGCACGCACAAGTGTTGGCATCCTCTCTGTTTTGCTTAGGCACGCTATATTGGACCCCATCTGCAAAATAAGCCGAGGTTCTGCGAGGCAGCAAGGACAATGCACCGTTTCCTGGCAAGGCCGGGTAACTTGGCCAGGCTCCTCCAGGTCTCCAACTCTGCACACTGTACCACACTGTCAGGCTGATAAGCAGTCCTTCTTGATGATGGCAGGTGCATGCCACTCCTTGCCCGAAGCACCAACCATCGCGAGAGCAGGGAAAAGACCAATGACAGTCAGCGATATCCAGTCGAGGCTCGAAGTGGCCATCTGCGTGCACCGAGTAGCTCTGGAATGCAGGTGGCAAAGCACCCATCGTGATCGCACCTCGCGGGCTCTTGGCCGGCACTAAAGGGAACAGTCAAAACCCAGCAGGACGAGCCCCAAAAGCAACGGAATGCCAACGAAAGCTGACGTAAATCCCGACATCTCGTTGAGGAAGGCGGGCTACCACCGGGTCTTGGCAGTGGTAGTAGGGGTGGCAGCAATCATACTAGCAGCAGTCGTAATGGTCGCCGTCGTCTTGGAAGTGGGTGCGAGTAGGAGTAAGAGTAAGTCAGCAGCAGCAGCCGTAGCCGTAACCGTAGCAGTCGCTGTCACAGTAACAGAAGCAGTCGCAGAGGCAGTGAAAGTGGTAGCGGTAGGCGTCGGGTCGTGATCGTGGTGGTGGTGGTGGTGGTGGTGGTGGTGGTGGTGGTGGTGGTGGTGGTGGTGGTGGTGGTGGTGGTGGTGGTGGTGGTGGTGGTGGTGGTCTGGTGGTGGTGGTGGTCTGGTGGTGGTGGTGGTGGTGGTGGTGGTCTGGTGGTGCTGGTGGTGGTGGTGGTGGTCTGGTGGTGG